GGGCGCGCATGCCGCGGGCCAGCGCAGCGCAGAGGAGCGCTCGGGCGGGGCCCGCAGCGGCGGGCAGGCCCGCAGCGGCAGCCCCCCGGTGGCAGCTCCCGGGCCCCTCGCCAGCCAGCCCCGCACCCCTCCCCAGCCAGCCCCTCACCTGCAGGAAGACGGCATCCAGGGAGCCGCCCAGCTGCTGCATGGCATCAACTTCGGTCTGTATCTTGAGCAGGTAGCGCGGCGTGGCGCGCGCATTCTTGGGCACCTTGTTGATCGACTTGACCGCAAAGCGGCGGCCGCTGCGGCGGTCGGTGCACTCGCGCACCACGCCAAAGCTGCCCGCGCCCAGCACCGAGCCCAGCAGGTACCTGCGGGCGGTGGGTGGGTGGGCGTGGGGGGAGGAACAGGGGGCGGCACACGTGAGCAGGCGGGGGTGTCAGGAGATGTGCGGGAGGAAGGCGGGACGGAGGATGGCACGAGGCGGGGCATGAGGCTGTGGAAAGCGCAGCGACAAAGTCGACAAGCAAGCGGCAAGGTGGCAAGGTGGCAAGGAAGCGGGCTGAGGATGAGCAGCCAGCACGGGCCCCCGCCCTCCAGGCCCGCCTGCCTCACTTGTCCTTGAGGTTGCGTGGGTAGCCAAACACGTTTTGGATCTCCTCCGGCAGCAGCTCCGCCTTGAGCGGCCGCTGCAGCACCGCAGAGTCGCCCGCCTTGGCAGCATAGTCTGCGTGCACCGGAGGCGTCGCGCCCTGCTGCTGCCCCGCCGGCAGCGCCTGGCACAGCAGGTCCAGGCCGGGCGGCCGCGCAAGCCGCACGCGCAGCACGCGCCGCGCTGGCTGCGCCGCGTGCGGCTGCTGCTGGCGGTGCGGCGTAGGAGCCGCCATCTGCACAACACGGCGGGCGGTTGGAACAGGCCGGGTGAAGCCAGGGAAAGGCTGGGGATGCATGCTGGAGCAGCTGAAAATCGCAGCCTGCACGCACAGGTGACCCAGGTGAGCCTCACTGCACCACTCACCAGTCGCCGGGCGAGGCGGCGCTCGGAGGGCACCAGCGGCGTGGCGGCGACCGCCGCCTGTCGCCCGCTGGTGCTGCAGCCTGGCTGCTGCCGTGCGGCAGCCAGCGTGCCGCACGTAGGTGCTCCTAATGTGCCCATTGTCTGCGATACAGGGGAGCGGGGGCAGGGCCTGGGGGCGAGGGTTGGGCCACTTGAGGTCAGCGGGCCAGCGTCGCCGGGCGATCCCAGGGCTGGGCTGCCCAGGCCTAGGACATGCCAGTGCGCTTGGGTCCCAAGCTGGCACCGCGAGCGGCCCTTGGGGCAGGGAAGTTGCGACCATCCCTCGCTAGACTCGGCCTGCGCACCCACCGTGCGGTGTTCAGGCACGTGTAATAGTGTAGGTGGCTTCGAAAGTCAGGGCCTAAGGCCGATGGCTCGCCGGGGCGGTCAGGTCGGACGTCGTGGGCAAGCGCACAAGAAGATGGTCGTTCGTAACCGGTTGGGTATCGAAGAGAAGAACGATATGTGACGAGAGCGCGGCACGCTGCCCGCTCGAAACTCCGCCCCGCTGGCGAGAGTCATGAGGAATGCGGCACACAAGCGAGGAGGGCCGCAGCGGGCCTGCTCAAGGCAATTGGATCACTTGATCACCTGCTCTCCAACGACGGGTGCCCAGCCTGAGGAAGCGCTCGCTGGAGTGGCAGCCCCATCGCCCCTCCCCCACCTCAGCATACCCAGGCCCTGCCTGGCATTGCCGAGGCCATAGAGACTGCCACACAGAGATCTAGGCATTGCCCGAGCCCGCCGGCACCTGGCTCCAGTAGTCCGGGCGGCACAGCGGGGCGGGCCGTGGGCGGTGGCAACACAAAGCGAGTGGGCCACCAGGCAGCCCCTGCCAGCTGCAGCACAAGCTGCTTGCTGCTGCTGGTACCCGACCCTCCCGCCGGCTCTACCGCGTAGCCCCAGCGCCAGGCGCAGCAGCCGCGGCGCAGCCGCATGGCGCCGCCGCGGCAGGGTGTGCACCCCTTCCTGCGTGCCGGCGTGCCGCTGCTGGGCCTCACCATTGGCGGCTTCCTGGGCCTGAAGTTCTTCGTGCAGGGCCGGCTGGACGTGCAGGTGCGCGGCGTGCGGGCGCGGGGTGCGCGCCACGCCATCCATGCACGCGCGGCAGCGTGTCGAGGCACCCTCGCGGGCAGCTGGCACGGCCTCCTTCCATGCTTGCCTGCCTGCCTGATGAGTCTCCCTGCCCGGGGCCATGGGACACGCGTGACGTGGCGCAGGATGCACAGGCGCGGGAGCTGGACCTGCGAGCGCCCGTCTCCAAGCAGCGCGCCAAGAGGTTCAACCTGGAGGAGGAGCTGGCGGTGAGCGGCCGCGGCTGTACGGTTGGTTCCATCGACCATTAGGCTGCCGGGGCCGCTGCGCCCTGTGCCTGCACGCACGGCCCCTGCGCCTGCCATTGGCGCCAGCAGGCTGCCGCCTCGACCCCTGCGCCCGGGCCGGCGTGCACCCCCGTACCCTGTGCAGCGGCTCAAGGGCGAGGTGGACCTGGAGCATTACGAGAACAAGCCGGTGCCGCGCCCAAAGCAGCTGGCGGAGGGCGAGGACGGTTGACTGAGCTGCCAGAGCCGCCAGCGCCAGCGCTGCCGCTCTAGTCCACTGCGGCAGCCAACGGTGTTTACAATATGCAGCTCTCGATCATCATGCCATCTGCGCAGTCTCAAGTATTACAGCCTTTGGTTAATTCTCATAGTAACACAGCCACAGGGAACAAGCTTGCAGGGGCAACGATCGCAATGCCGAATGGTCAACGTGGCATGAAATACAAGTCTGGGTTTTGCTCTCCAAAATCTGCTGAGGTGATAAATTGGCGGCTAGCTACGAGCATACAGGTCAAAATTCAGCAGCAACTCTTCTCACTTTGGCTGCCACGGCGCGTGGGCGTCGTTTGCCGCAGCCGCTGCGAGCGGCAGCAGGCCAGCCGCCTCCTTCTTGCTGCGCTCCGTGTCGATCTTGGGGCAGGGCTGGCTCAAGTTCTTGCTGCTCACAGTGCCCAGGTTGCACTGCTTGGTGAAGCCTGCAACGCAGCGAGCAAGGAGGCAGGAAGGGACGCAGGGAGGGAGGGTCACGAGCGGGCTCGCGGTACCATCTCCCCGCCCCACATGCCACGCCACAACACGCGCCTCCTGCAGCACCCGGCCAGCCGCCTGCCAAGCTGGCTGGCTAGCCTCTGGCACCGGCTGGCACTGCCTGGCACTGCCTGGCGCCGGCTGGCACCCATACCGGTACTGCCCACTCACACGGCTGGCTGTACACCTTGTCCAGCTCCACCGGCGGCGGTGCCCGCCCAAACACCATCTCGCAAGACAGGTCCTCAAAGTTGGGGTCCATCGTCTGCAAGAGGCGGGCAGCAGATGCGGCAGCGCGCAGGCAGCTGGTACACGCAGCGGCGCCAGGCCAGCGGCAAGGGCAGGCCTGGCCGCAGGAGGCGCCAGACTGGGCCAACGCAGCACGGCAATGCCGCTGCAGCTGCCCCCAACAGAACCAGAGCCGCAGCAGCACCCACCAGCGGCAGGCCAAAGGTCTCGGTGAAGAACTGCAGCGGGGCGGGAGGCATGGCAGCAGGGCGCGTGGCGAGGCGAGACAGGGAGGGGGCGAGGCCGACTGGGCAGGGGCGGGGGAGAGCTGGTGCTATCGGCGCCGGCGGGCCTGGGCGCACCTTTTGCGTGGGCAGCTTGCACATGTTGGTGCACATGCCCACGCAGCCGCTGCTCTCCAGGTAGCGACACTTCTTGATCTTCACGCCTGCGGGGCGGCAAGGAGGCAGGCAGGGCATGCGGGCAGGTGGGCAGCCGTGGAACCAGGTTGGTGGCGCCCGAGGCCAGGAGGCACGGCCGGGGCAGGCAGCAGGGCCTCTCCATCAACCATCCGCTGCGCTTGGCGCCCCCCCCGGTGCTCACCGCTCATCCACTTTTGCGTCCTCCCCTCAAACTCGACCTCCACCTGCGCACCCCCACACACACAACAAGCATGGAGGGCACAGTGGAGCACGCCAAACCCTCCCGACTGCCGTTCCTTAAGCAGGCAGGTGGCACGCATGGGCGTGCGGCGCCGCGCAGCACACGCACATTGCTCTGCGGCATCGGCCTGCCCGCCTCCCCCGCCGCCTCCCATTCCGTATCACCAGCCCACAGGCTGCACGAGCGCGCAGGCCGCTGCATTGCCCCCAGCCCAGCCGCCCAGCCCACCTCCTTGAGCTCCGAGGCGCCCACCAGCCAGGCAAAGCCCAGCACGGTGATGAAGGCATTGGTTTCCGCATTGAACTTGTTCAGCGGGAACCAGCGGCGGAAGCGCTCGGGCGCCTGCGGGGCCGGCCGCAGCGGCAGCGCCACTTGGAGCAGCACGCGCATCGAGCGGGCTGCGACGCCCGGCGAGCAGGGCAGGGCGGCCACACAGGGGGCAACCAGAGGCAGCGGCAGGTGGCTGTGGCATGTAGCTGCTTCGCACAGGGCGCCTGGCTGCCCCCGCCCCGGGGCCCTCCCACCCACCTGCGGCGGCAGCAGCCCCGCCAGCACCCCCGCCACCGTCTCCTGCTGCTCCGCCGAGTTGCGGCCCCGCATGATCTCCCGAGACAGGTCCACAAACCCGTCCCAGCTGCCGTCAAACGGCTTGCCTGCACCCAGCCACAACCGACTCGTCTCGCGATGCGTCAGGACGGTACGGCGCGGCGCCCTGCCGGCCAACCGCCCGGCGCCAGCAGCGGCGGCGCCGGGGCCCGCAGCAGCGCCGTCGCCGCCATCCCTACCTCCCAGCTGCTTGGACATGACGCTGGAGAAGTAGTAGATCATGGCCCGGTCCAGCACATTGTCCCGGTACACAGTCCGCTCGGCAAAAGGGTCCGGCGGCGCGCTGGCCGCGGCCCGCGGCCGCGCAGCGCCACGCGCGGGGCGGCCTGCCCGCGCCCACCTGCCTGCGGCACCGTGGACGGGGTGCGGGCATGTGGGTGAGGCGAGGCAGGGGAGGGCGCAGGCCGACGGAGGGTGTGCACAAGCGACGAGCGGGGCAAGGCAGGGAGGTGGCCGTGGCGCCGCCAACCAGCAGCGCCAGCGATCCAGTCCTTCCGTCGGGCAGATGATTGGCGGCGCGCATGCTCTTTTTGAATGGTGGTGCAGCAACCGCAGTGCCCCAGCAAGGCGTCGGGGAGCCCCTTGAACTGCGGCCTGCCTACTGCGACACCACAGCGCCACCTCCCAGACTTGCCATTTCGCTGCTGCAAGAAGCTCCTGGCCAGCCGCCGCTCCTGCAAGCAGCAGCTGGTCCGCCAGGACGTGCAAGTCAGCAGCAGCATTGTCGCTCGCCACACCAGAGGATGCACACTGGATGGTACGATCTCGTTGGGGTGAAGACAATCGAACAGCAAGCCATCGGTATGCAGAGCCCAGCTGGCGGGGCCCGACACCCTGGCGCCGCCGCCCTGCCCACCGCGTGGGGGCCTGCCCTGGCTGCTGGGCTGAGGCAAGCTAGGCGCCCCGCAACACACATGGAGTTGAGCCCTGTCGTCGAGTTTTAGCATGGCCTTCGCAGACAGCCGCAGACACCAACAGGTTTGCAGTGTGAACAGGAGGGCGGTCCCTTGCCGCCGGATGCACTTGGGGGAGGGCCTGGAAAGACCTTTGCTCCTGCTGGAGCCGGCACATCGTCCGACAAAGCAGCGAGGAAGGTGTTGGCCACCAGCAGCATGCGGAAGGCAACCCGAACAACAGCCACTCAGCCCGCCAGCAGTAGCTGAGCGGAGGGAGAGCAGCGGGCTCCGAGGCACCCTGAATGGAGGAATAATGCGATTTACAAAAGCAAAGTGCTGGAGAGGACATGTGCGCTCACTGCCAGTTTTTAAAAAGCAATACACCAGAATGAAGGGAGGGTAGGTAGGAGGACGGACAATTTTTGCTTTTTTTCGAGATGTGACACACGGGGGGGCAGGGAACACCGGGGCCCGGGGAGGTCGGGGAGCGAGCGGAAGAGGCGGAAGCGTTTTGGTAGGAAAGGTTAGGGGCAGAGGCGTGCATGCCGGAGAGTAGAGCTGCATGTAAGGGGGAGTCACAGAGCGGCATGCATGGGGGGTACAGGGCGGCTGCAATTAAAAAAAACGCTTTGGGCTGTGTGGTAGCGGGCGTGTGTGTGTTCACTATCGTGGACGGGGCGCACAAAAAGGTGATCTCTGGGGAAATGGCAGCGAGCGGCGGCAGCAGGGTGCGGCGGCGGCGCAGGGAGGGGGGCAGCCCCAAAGCGCCATGCCCCGGGCGCAGCACCCTGCCACTGCGTCCTCACCAGCTGGCGGTACAATGAAAGAATGGCACAGAATGGGGGCTGCTGTTGGTACTGCTGCTGCAGGCGGGCGCGCCGCCGCCGCACGGCGACGGGGGCGACGCCCACCCGCTCAAGTGTTTTTTCAAGTGTGCAAGCCTGCTGCGGCTTGGTGGACGAGCACGGTGAGACGCCACGCGGCGGGCGGGCGGGCGCTCAGGCCTTTTGCGCCATGGCGGCGTGGTGGGCGTGCTTGGCGTGCAGCTTGTGCTTGTTCTTGTGCGCCATGGCGGCCGCCTTGATCTGGGCGATCTTGCCCTTGTCGGCGTGGCGCAGGCTCAGCTCAATCAGGTGGTCCTGCTCCATGCCCTGCAGGCAAGCGGCAGGGTGGGAGAGCGGCGCGGGTCAGCACTAGATGCGCAGGGTGCGCGGTTCGCTGGCAGCAGAGCAGCAGGCCAGCCGGGTGCGCTCAGCAGCCTGGGGGCTGTTACAGAAAACGATGCTAGAGGCCCTGCCCGAGCATGGGCACTAGCATGAGCTGATGGCATTGCCACAGACAGCTGAGCCAGGCCAAGTGCGTACTTGCCCCCGACCGGCGGAGCAGCTGCGGAAGCTGCCCGCTGCGGCTCACCTCCAGCTCGGCCATCAAGCTGACCCAGCCCTCGACCTCCTCCAGCTCCTCCAGTTCTGCGGGGCTGACGCTCATCTGCAGGGGCACAGGGAGCGGGGACTTGGGGCGGTCAGCAGCGGGTTCACGGCGCTGAAGGGGCGGCGGCGGTCCGCTGTGCAGCAGCTGAGGCTCGTTTCAGGGCCTCCAGCCGGCTGTTCTGGTGGCGCGATCAGAGAACAGGGCACCCGGGCGGCCGCAGCCGCGCCACAATCAGGGCGCTCTGGTCTCGGCGACCGAGGCGATCTGCCCGGAAGCGCGGGGCGCGTGCCCAGCGCCCCGCCCCCTGCTGCTAGCTCCCCGGCACCAGAGGGCTGGGCTGAGGGGAGCTGCAAGTCCCGGCGGGCCCCCAGCGCGTCAGGCGAGACGCCTCAACTGCAAAACCCTCCGGCCCCCGTGCACCCTCCAGGCGCGCCCGCAGGCCCCGCTGACTCCCTAGCGGACCCGGCCAACGCGTATACACGCCAAACAATGCGCGCAGGAGGCCCCAGGGCCGCCCCTCGAGGCAACCCCACGAACCCAGCCACTGACCTCGCTGGACAGGGCCCAGGGGTCTTCTGGGAGGCCATGCGTGTCCTGATCACCCGCCGAGGAGCTGGGCACGTCGATGGGGTTGCTGCGCGGGCAGAAGGCGGGTGCGTCCACTCGCAGCTTGGATTCAGCTGGGGCCATGGTGGCTGTGGTTGAGAGTGATGGGGGACGACAATGTGGAGAAATAGAACCAAACTGGGGCCGAAACAACGCCTCACCGACGAAATGACTCGTGACTTTCCAGCGGGAAGAAAATGTCGCCAACCGAAAGTTTGAAACTGCACTCAAACTGTTCCGCGAAGCACGACGGCGGCGACCCAATAGCACATTGTGGCTTCCTAAGCCACCAGACCGTACGCCGGAGCTGGGCAGATGAGCAGCGAAGGGCGGCAGCCAGTGTTTCTGGCCCTCGTGGCAGCTTTGGCGATGGGCGGGCGATGAGGACTGCTGTCGCGTCCAAATTTCGCCAATCAGCTGGCGATGGCACATTGAGGATTGGCGAAATGCGGGGGAGCCACCCTTGCGCCTGGCACAGCGCAGCGGCCACATGCGGCGCCGCTGTTGCTTTGTCGGCACTTGCCTCCCTTTTGGGGGACTGGGGGCGAAGCCCCCAGCAAGCTGGCGCTTGTTTAACACTATGGAGTGAAGTTCCTGAGGAAAATTGGCCATTTCTCCTCAAAATATTGGCGATGTCAGTCATGGGGGCTGGCGACGTGCTGGCGATGTCGCCCCGCCGCCTGCCCTCATTTAGCCAGCCCTGGCTGGCGATGGCCTTCGGCCAATCGCCAGCCAGAGCCGTTTTTTGGCCCGATTTCGCCAGCATTTGGCGATTTCGCCAGCTTTCAGAAACACTGGCGGCAGCACTGGGCGCCGCCAGCAAAGCCACCGCCCGTGATCTTGCCAGCTGGTGAAAGCTGTTTACAACGTGTTCAGCGCGGGTGAAAGCTGTTTACAACGTGTTCAGCGCGTTAAATGCTTGATTATCTCGCAGCTGATGTCACCAGGATACGGGCCACGGCCGGCCAGCCTCACTGCCGCGCCTTCTTCTTCGCCTTGCTGCCCTCGCCGCCGCCGCTGCCGCCCTTATGCTTCCTCCCCTCCCGCGCCTCCCGCCCGCCGCCCTGCTGCCGCTGAGCCTGCCGCTGCTGGCCCCCTCCCTTCTCCCGCTTCCGCGCCTCGCCCGCCGCCTTGACCGCCACGATGCCGCCGGGCTTGAGCGCGGCGCCGCCGCCGCCAACTGCCCCCTCAAAGTCGGCGTCTGCCGCGATGGCAAAGCGGGCCAGGTCCTCGGGCCGGAACTCCTCCCGCATGGCAGCCTTGATCTCCTGCTCCCAATGCGCGTGTGTGGGGGAGAGACCAGGGGTGCAGGGGTGAGAGGAGCGGTCCCGGCAGCATAGGTAGGCGGTTGGTGCGGTGGGCAAAAGGCATTGCTGGCAGCAGTAGCAAATGCTCCAAGGCCCGCCAGGCGCGCGTGCTCCTGCGCCCCAGCCATGTGTGAAGGGCAGGCACACCCCCCACCACACACACACCGCCCACCTCCGCCGCCTCCTCCACCTCAGCGTCCAGGTCGGCGTCGTGCGGCGCCAGGTCAGCGCCGCCGCCGCCGCCCCGCGCCGCGGGCCTGGGCAGGCTGCGCTCCACCTCCGCCTCCTGCGCCGCGCGCAGCAGGCCGTGCAGGCGGCGCACCGCTTTATTGAACAGCGCCAGCGCCTGGCTGGGGGGCAGGCCCAACCACTCCTCCAGCTGCAGGGTGGGAAGAAAGCGAGGGGGGGGGCACATGCATCTAGATGGGTGTGTGGCTGGTGAGCGGGAGGGCGGGGAGCGGGCCGCGGGTGGGGGCCACGAAGCAGGGGGGCCGAGGTTGGTGTAGCGCAGCAAAGGGTGGCGCCGACGGCGTGGCTGGGGGGTCGGACGCCCGGCAGCACCAGCACCAGCACTGGCACCAGCCGCGGCCCTGCCTCTCCCCCACCTCTCACTCCCCACATACCCCCCACACCCCCACCCCCACCCACACCCCCACCCACCCACCTTTCCGATCTCATGCTGCTGCAGGCCCACACAGGCCAGGATGGCGGCCTGGCTGTACGACAGCGGCGCGGGCAGGCGGCCGCCAAAGTAGGCGTGCGCCAGCGGCGGCAGCAGGTCCAGGATGAGGTGGTGGTCCACCAGGTTGTTGCTGTACGCCTGCGGTACGGCAGCGGTACAGCAGCGGTACAACAGCTTCAGCAGATGGGCGGCACGGGGCTGCCGTGGCGGCAGGCAGCAGCCGGCCCGGCAGGCCAGGTGGGAGGCCCCGGGCGGCTGGGCGGCTGGGGCTCGATTAGGCTGGCTGCTGCGCATACACAACACGCCGTGCACACACACATCCGCAATGCACAGGCGCCCTCACAGGCGCACCTGCAGGCGCTTGAGGTCGTACGGCGACAGCCCCGCGCCGTCTGGCTTGCGCACCACCACGCCGCCCGCCACCGCCGCGCCGCTCTCCGCCTCGCTCCAGCTCAGCTTGGGGTCCAGCATGGACAGCACCAGGGCGGGAGGAAAGTCGCGGAAGGCACCTGGGGGAAGAGAGGGAGGCAGGCAGGCAGGCAGGCAGGCAGGGGGAGGAGGGGTCACAAGGGGGCAAGCAGGCAGCCGCAGCGTCGACGCCAGGCGCTTGGAATGCATGCAAGCAGGCAGGCCGCCCCCTCGCCCCCACCTGTCCCCACCCTCCCGCCGTCCCACCCCCACCACCCTGCCCTGCCACCACAGGCCGCGCCGGCCCACCTGCCAGCAGCGTCATGAAGCGGGCGCGGAAGTCGGCGACAAAGGGGTCCAGCCAGGCGGTGTCCGCCACGTCAGCAGATCGCAGCGGGCGCAGCATGATGACGGTGTGCTCGCCTGCAGGGGGAGGGCAGGCAGGGGGGCAGGTGAAGGCAGGCAGGGGCAGGCAGGGGCAGGCAGGGGCAGGCAGGGGCAGGCAGGCAGCGTCGGCTCCCACCCCCCCTCCTCCCTACCCCTCACGACGGCACCTCCACACAAGTGCGCAGCCGAGCTCCCACGCCCCTCCCACCCAGCACAGCCTGCCCAGCTCAAAGGCCGCCGCCCCCCACATCCGCAGCCGCCCCAAGGCGGCCATTGAGGGGGCGCAGGCATGCCCAGCGCGCATGGTCCGCCCCCACACCCACCCGTCACGTCGCTGGGTGTCTGGCGCAGGTAGACTGGGCGGAAGGCGGAGCGCCGCCAGAAGCTGTACAGCTGCTGCGTCAGCCCAAAGGACGTGCCCAGGTAGTGCAGGCGCTCCGCGGGGCGGTCCGACAGGTTGACCAGCAGCGGCGGCAGGCCCGCCCGCGGCTTGAGCTCCTCGGAAAGAAGGCCGCCGCCGGCGCCTGGGGCAGGCAGGGGTAGGGGTGTTGGGGGCAGGCGGGGGTGGGTGGGTGAGGGTGTGTGGGGGGGGGGAGGAGCAGGGAGGGAAGTGCGAGGCGAGGGGGGGGGCAAGGGAGGGCCAGGCAAGGGAGGGCGGCGGCGCGTGAAGCGGCGCGGGTGTGCGCATGCGGGCAGGGGCAAGGGAGATGCAGGGCTGGGGCAGGCGCGGGGAGGCCAGCTGGCTGGCGGTGAGCAGCGAGGCCCGCCACGCATGCAGGCTGCATGCAGGCTGGAGCGTGGAGTGCAGGCTGCGGGGAGGGGCTGTCGCGAGAGGGCATCCCGCGCCGCCCAGTCGCCGCAGCGGGGCGGGCGGGGTATGAGCTCAGGCGCTTGCTGTGCCCCACAAGTGAACGGGCCCTTCAGCCAGCGGGCAAGGCTGGGGCCCTACCTGTGTGGGGGGGTGAAGGAGGGCTGCTGCTGCTGCGGGCCAGTGGCAGGCAGGCGGCGGCGGCCACCCCGCCACCCAGCAGCAGCAACAGGGCAGGCATGCCGAGCGTGCAGCCGGCCGGCATGCTACAGCCAGAGGGCGGCACCGCCCTGCCCTCACCCCCAGCAGACGCAGCAGCGGCAGCGGCGGCCCTCCCCGCCGCAAGGGCAGCCCTGCGCCCGCGCTCACCCTGCGCTGCCGCTGCCGTGGGCCCGTTGGAGGAGCGGTGGCCTGCGGGGGCGCCGCCGCCGCCGCCCGCCGCCGCCTCATCCTCCGACATCACGTCGGCAATCTGTCCCTCGTAGTACCGCCGCAGCTGGTCCACCGCGCGCGTGCCGTACCTGCAGGGCAGGCGCCCGGGGTGGGCGGTGCGGAGCTGAGCGACGGGCAATGGGTGCCGTGGGTGTGTGTGCGGGAGGGGTGGGCGGCAGAGAGCTGGCGGCAAGGGTGGCGCGGGGTGTGCTGGGGCGCAGGCCCCGCTTGCTGCGTGGGCACGCCGCCGCCGCGCCGCTGGCCGCGCAGCCTCACGGGCAAGCCCCTAAAACAGGCGTTAAGCCCCTTAAGACAGCCCCTGAAAAGAAAGGGTTCCAAGGGTTTCAAGCTGGGAAGCTGCCGCTGCGGGAGCTCACCCTGCGCGCGGCACCTCTGGGTGCACCGCGATGCGCACCACGCGCGCCCCCGACAGCGCCGGGAACTCGGAGTCCTGGAACTGCTGTCCCACGGTCCAGGGGATGAGGTCGCCCTGCGGCAGCTGGCCCGCCGCCAGCGAGGCGCGCGCGCTGCGCTGCGAGATGGACCCCTCCAGCGCCACCTGCACCACCGCCAGCACGTCGGGTAGCGCGTTCTGCGGGCGGGCGGGCGGGGAGGGGGGGCAGGGGGAGGTAGGGGCGGGGCGGGGGGGCGTTGGCGGGGGCTGGGGGTGAAGACGAGGGTAGAGATCGCGGGGGGGAGGAGGCAGGGGAGCGGGGGCGCGGGGACGGGGTGCCCCCCAGCCTCCCGCAGCGCACGCGGCGCGCGGCGGGCGGCGGTGAGCGCGGCAGCCGCTTCCAAACGGCCGGCCGGCCGGCCGCCCGCGCAGCCCCAAACCCCGCAGCCGGCCAGCACCGCAGCTCGGCTTTGCGGCAGGCAGCCCCTCGGCAGCCAGCCCAAGCAACCAGCCCCTCGGCAGCCAGCCCTTCCAGCCAGCCAGCCCCGCCCAGCCATCACCCAGCCCCAGCCCTTGCCTGCGTCTCGTCCACGGGGCCCAGCAGCACAAACAGGTGGTGGGCGGGCGCGTCGCTCATCAGTATGAGGTCGTTGGGCGTGTTCTTGTAGTGCGAGGCGACGTAGAGAGCCATCATGCGCTGCAGGAAGGTCTCGCTGGCCTGTGGGGGGCAGGGGTGCGTGAGGATGGCGTGGGTGTGAGCTGCGCAGAGGCGGCACGCACACGACTGAGTTTCGCAGTGCAGGGGGAGGCGCCGCGGCAGGCGCGCCGGCGCGGCCGCAGCCAGAGCCCTGGCTGGCAGGTGTGCGCGGGTGCTGGCTGGCCGCCTGCTGGCGCCAGGGCTGGCGGTACGTTGGAGGTACGTCTGGCGGTACAGTCGTACCTTGTGGTACGAGAAGAGGGTGTCCCGCTCCACGTAGTACAGCTCACACTCGTCTGCAGGGGTGAGGAAGGGCGAGGGGCATGCGAGATGCGTCACTGGCGGGGCTCGGGGCAGAGGGAGGGCCTTGGTCGGAGGCAGGACGGGTGCGCCGGGAGGCGCCGGTGTCGGGAGGCCCGCGGGCGGCCGCAGGGCTCTGTGCCGCAAGGTGCGCTGCGGAAATGCAGACTGTACACAGAAGCAGCTTTGCGGAAGCAGCCTGCCCCGCAGCTGGTGGCGGCCCCCGCAGCGCGGAGCACGCACCTGGGTGTGGCAGGCGGGCGGGGGGTGCGGGGGTGTGCTCTGCGGCATCCAGGCACAGCAGCTCGTTGAGCCAGCGCTCCACCTTGTCGCCCAGGGAGTACCTGCGGTACCGACGCAGTACCATCAACACGGCGCGGGGATGAGGTGGCGCGCGCGATGCGCCGCGGGCGAGGGGCTGGCAGCCAACGGCGGCAGCGGAGGCCTGCCCGTGCCAGGCGCAGCCATTGCAGCGTGGCCTCACACCCATGCCCTGGCTTGCCCCTCCACACCCGCCTGCTCCGCCTGCAAGCCCGCACCTGATGGGCTCCCCAAGCACCACCTCTCTGAAAGTGCGCATGCTACCCCCCGCGGCCGTCGCGTCGCCGCCGCCGCCGCCGCCGCCGCCCTTCCTGCCATCCCCGCTGGCCAGCTTGGCGCCCTGCTGGCGCAGCTGCTGGATCAGCTTCAGGCTCAGGCTGCGCCCGGTGCCCTCGTACCCGTTCACTGCGGGGCGGGGCAGGCGCAGGGGAGGGCAGCGTGGGGTGGCGGCTGGCGGGTGGCAGCGACGGGAGGGAGGCTGCCAGGAAGGCAGCCAGGGCAGCGGAGCCAGCCAGCTGGCCAGGTCGCCTGATCGTCGCCTTCCCCTGCAAGCATCACGCTTGGGACTGCGCCGCCAAGCCGCCAAGGCAAGCCATCCACCCGTCCACCTCACACCCCCACCACACCACACACAGAAAGCCGAGCCATGCGCTGTCGAGCTCAAGCGCCGCCGCCGCCCCCCCGGGCCCACCCGTGGAGCAGAGGAAGACGAGGTAGGGTCCCAGCATGGCCTTGACCAGCGGCAGCGGGATGGCGGCGGCCTCGTCGATGACCAGCAGCTCGGCCTGGGCCAGGCGGGCGTGGTGCTGGGGCTGGATGTACTGCACGGTCTGGCGGTGGGTGCGGTACACGTTGACCCGCACCACCGCCCGCCCAAAGGACGGGTTGGTGCTTTCCACCAGGTCGTAGTCAATGTGCTCCTGCGGGGGGTGAGCAAAAACTTTTGTTTTGGGGCGGGAAGGGATGGAGGCGGGACACCGGGTGGAGGACCCGAATTGGAAGAAAGAGCAGGAAGGGAGCGAGGCACGAGGGGCCCGAGATGACGACAGGGTTGCGCCGCACGCGCACACACAACGCCATCCGCCGCGCCCAGCGCTGCGCCGCCGCCGTGCAGCGCCCCGTACCGCCGAAACCCGTACCGCAGAAACCCGTACCGCACCTTGTACTCCAGCTCGTCCAGCCCCTTGAACACAAACTCGAACAGCGTGCGCAGGTTTTCGGGGGAGGGCGCCGTCACAAATATGTTGGAGTATCCCAGCGCCAGCGCCCCCGCCACCGCCAGCCCCAGCGCCGCCGACTTGCCGCGGCCGCGCGCCGCCGTCAGCGCCACCGTCGCGCGCAGCGTCTTCTCTGCAAGGCGCGCGGGCGGCGGCGGCGGCGCGCGGGCGGGGCATGTGGGGCGCGAGCGCGGCGAGGCGTGGGCGAGCGCCGGCAGGGGGGCGCAACGCCGCCACAGGCATTTACGACGTGGCATAGCGAGGCGACCGGCCAGCCGGGCGCCTCGTTCCCTCTTTCCCTCCCTCCCTCCCTCACTCTCCACCCACCCACCCACCCGAGGCCGCATCCAGAAAGGTGACCACCGCCTTAGCCTGG